AGCTCGCAGCCAGTCACTATACCGACTGCGCTTTACCAGTCTGAAAACCTGCAGTTACATATGCCTGTCTTACATTACACGAATTCCTACAATGAAAACTGCATCGTCATGTTACGAACTGTGTAGGATCAGGTTGTAAGGCTTGTCCCGATGAATCTCGAAATCCTCATGGTTCGTTCTAAGTCCCGTCCTCCAGTTCTTAAATTATTTAAGGCGATTTCCTTTCGAAGATTACAGTTCTGTGGGTTGTGACACCATGTAGCCTGGTAAGAAGGTTGAGTGTTTCCCACTCGACTGAAATGTTTTAGTCATTGATGGATTGGGAGGATGGCGGATACGGCTGGCTGAGAGTCGAACAAGATACCCCCGATTTCCAAGGCAACTGTATGGTGCGTACGAGTTGAAAGAGGTTGCGTGACGCGGTTAGAATGTTATTCAGTGTAAAGGTAAAGCTATCCCTGTAACTGGTCGTGGGGGCCCATAGGGTTGTGAGACGTTGAGGTTCCCACATTTTCTAGATAATCGGCCCACAGATGGCGGTAAGGTTGTCAGCCTTACGCGCCGGCCTCCCTTTACTCCCAGGGAGATTCCTGGTACTCATTTCTGTTAGAGGCTGAGTCGACCCCAGGGCCATAGTGCGGCTAGAAGGATTAGGTCAATTGAAACATCAAATGATCTCATCGGGAATCAAACCCGCGACCTTCCAACTTATAGCATAGTGCATCAACCAACTACCCTACCGCGTGCCCCTAATGAATTGATTTAGATAATAATATTAAAAGTGGTAGCCGCTTGTAGCAATATGTGGACAGTATCTGCAATACCCCCACCATCACTATCGAAGTTGTCTGATTCTCTTGGTCTCTGAAGACGAGCACGTGGTCAGGACCTTGGCGTAGGACACCGCGCCCTCACATGACCCAAGAAACAAAACAGTGATTAGGAATTCTTTTCCGCTTCCCGTGAGGCTTCTCAGAAACTAATGTGGACAGACTACTGGGCGATGTAAGGTTCCCGGTACCAGGGCAATGCCAAAGTAACTGCCTGCCTGAGCACGGCAGACCACTGTAGGTCGCGATGCAAGGGCCGAGGATGCCTACCCCTCGTACATTCATTTATCTCTCTCCTGCTCTTCTTACTTCTTCTCTCATCTTCCTTCGCCCTTCCTCTTCTTCCATCCACCTGCCCCGTATGAAGAGACAGGAGGTTGGAGAAAACTGCACACCGAGGAGCTTCATAACTTGTACTCTTCTCCAAGTGCAATTAGAATGATCAAGTCAAGAGGATGAGACGGTCAGGGCATGTAGCACGCATGGGGAGAAAAGGAATGAGTGCACGTAGGTGGGTGGATAATACTAAAATGGATGGGATGATATGAACTGGATTTATCTGGCTCAGGATGGGGACAAATGGATGACTCTTGTGTACACGGTAATGAACTTTCGGGTTCCATAAAATGTTGGGAAGTTCTTGAGTAGCTGAGCAACTGGCGGCTTCTCAAGAAGTGCTCAGCTCCATGGAGTTAGTTACGTAATTCCCCTGGCCTGAAGAACATGTTCAGGCTGGTGTTTTGAGGCGGAAGTCACGTACGGTGAGACCAGTGTAAAAATAATTAAGCCTCAATTTAAAGGTAATTGTAGACACCGGGGGTAAATCGACCGAGACAGGAAACTGGCTATTCACCTCCATCTAATGCTGAGGTTACGAATGTCTGGAGCCATACCTCCATTTGTTCATACGCGGTGCTTAATTAAGCAGTAGGGTAGCTGTTAATTATGGACAAGTTCTAATGAGTACAATCAAGAAATTGAAGCCACATTTCAATGTAAAAATTCCGACGATGTTGATTGGAGTGGTCATTGTTACATGCTCCTCACTTCACGGAAAGGCGTGTAAAATGTAGGAAGCTCCGGCCGCAGCTGCAGGCGTCCTTCCGTCCGCTACATCTCGGTTCATCACGAGAATTTCCTTAGTGTCCGTTCCCTTACCCACGACCCCTACTGCAAGCAGCACATTTGCGCACGCGATCTGAGGTTCCCACAGCAGTGAGTCTTCTGGGATGTCACGCCGTGTAGTCTGGTAGAAAAGGAATCTGCTGTCTCCATTTTGAGGGTAGAAAAAAATTGTTGATTCTCAACTCTGATACTCTGGATGATATTCTGATGGCAAAATGTGTGATTCACATTTCCCTGAAGATGTAGACGAAAGGTTCCTCCGAAACGTCGGTACCTTTCTGCTAGACTACACGGCCCCACATCCCAGAACACAGGGGCCACATATATTTTAACCTGCAACATTCTAAACATAAGAATAATTAATTTTTCTTTAGGGAAGCCTACCAATATATATATATATATCTTTTTTTCCATTGGCGCTACAGCCCTCATTTGGGCCTAGGCCTACCTCCATGAAACTCTCCGTTTCACTTCGGTTTACTAGATCTTAGACATACGGTAGGAATCCTTGGGGGGGTGATCAGCTCGTCGCAAGGCCTCTCTACCTGTACACAAACACAGAAAAACGCACACAAACATCCATGCCCTGAGTGGGATTCAAACCCACGATCACGGCTTCCGAGCGAGCGAAGACAGTGCATGCCTTAGACCGCTCGGCTACCGTGACCGGCAAGCCTACCAATATACAAAGTCATAATAAGTTACATGTTTACGATATCCCAAAAGAGAGAAGTCTTCATAACACCCGCAGTGAGAAACTCAGATACTACATACTTGAATGAAAACCAATTCAAAATGACGGCTCACGGAGTGTCTGGAAATAACATTACATGTTATATAGTCTGATACCTCAGTCGGTATAGCGACGGGCTACGGACTGGACAAACGGGGTTCGATTCCGTGCAGGGCAAAGTTATCATTTTATCTTCCACAGCGTCCAGACCGACTCGGCGGTCCACCCAGCCTCCTATCCAAGGAGTACCTGAGGTTAAAGCGGCCGGTGCGGGAAGCTACCCACTCACCTCCATCTAGTGCCGAGGTCAAGAATGGTGGAACTATACCTCCACTCCCCCATACGGTTTCATGGCAACATGTTTAATTAATTCAGCACAAGAACTTTATCCTTTTTTCTCCCTCTTTTACCTTTAACATTATTAAAATGTATTCCTGACCAATTGTCTCGAGAAGCCAAAATGCATTTCTTTTCTTTCAATTTTTAATTGTCTGAACGATGCAAACGAATATTGATGGAAGGCCCAAAGCTCAGTCAAACGGAATTTCGTATTCTTGTTCATCATAAATGTTTAAAATCAAATAAGAGTACATTTGGGCCTCCTTAGGACAGGGTCCTAGACCAAATGGCTCTACTTCCACGCCACTCTCTATGGTCCTGCATGGCAGTACAGTTGCCTTTATTCAGTGCAAGTGAACGCCGATAATCACTGAAACCAGGGCAGTGATTGGAAAGAACTGTCCTGCACAATAACTGTATAGAGACTCGCTGATCTAACTTCATGGAGCTGAGCCCTTCTTGAGAAGCCGCTAGTTGTGCAGCTACTCATGAACTTCCCTGAATTTTAGGAACCTGAATGTTCATTGTAAACCGTATTCACAACACCCCTCCACTGGTCCCTATCCCGAGCCAGATGAATCCAGTCTATACAACTCCATCCTATCTCTGTAAGATATATCTCAATATTATCCTCCCACCTATCTGGAGGTCTTCCTAGTAATTTATTTCCTTCTGCATTTTCGCCAAAATTCTATATGCAATCCTCTTTCCCTCATGCGTGCTACATGCCACACTCATCTCATCTTCCTTGACTTGATCATTCTAATTATACTTGGAGAACAGTACAAGTTATGAAGCTCCTCATTGTGCAGTTTTCTCCAACCTCCTGTCACTTCATCTCTCTTCGGTCCAAATATTCTCCTCAACACCCTGTTCTCAAACACCCCCAGTCTATGTTCCTCCCTTAATCACAGACACCAAGTTTCACACACATACAGAACCACAGGAGAAATTATAGTTTTGTATAGTCTAATTTTTACGTTTTTAGACAGCAGCCGAGAAGATAAAAGGTTCTGGACTGAATGGTAGCAAGCATTACTCGAATTCAAACTCCTTTTAATTTCCTCCTGAATCAGGTTTTGATGTGTTACTGTCGTCCCCAAATATCTGAACAGTCCCACATTTTCAAAACATCTGTTACCTATCTTTATGTATCGATTTTGCTCTGCAGTAGCGTCAATTCAAGTTTCTAGGTACTACTATAATTTATCCATCGAAGTTTTGTTTAACACTAAATTCAGAGCCTGGTCTTGCACCCCAATCACATTGGGAAGGGGGAGGTAAATGTGCTAGTCACAAGACATGTATTACACTGTTCGAGTCCACGAATCACAATAGCAAATAAATCGCTTTATATCAGGTATCCTCGAACCAAAATGCATGGCAGGAAGCAAACCCGAATCTGCAGAACATATTCCGTTCCCTAGTTAATTGATATTTGACTAGATAAATAAAGAATATTCAGCGACATGACGGCTGAAAGCCGGGCTAGCGCAACGGGTAACGTCCGTTTCTATGCAACCAGGAGGTAAACACATTTCTGCTGCAACGACGCTACAGAGACACTGTTGGAAACTGCGTTTTCTATGCCGTCAGTGCCAAGGCTATATGGTAACGACCGAAACCGATTATTGGGATTGAAGCTTTCACAGTGGTGGATATACGTTCGCTGTAAGGTACTGACGACAAAAGAAATAAGTACAGATTTAGCCATATTAATACCCACAACAGTCACGCAATTAACCGAACACGGTAAATTAAAATAAGTGTAAGTCTGCTTGGGTTAAAAATTTCTTCAATACGGCATTTGAAAACGGACACAATAATATACCGAGAGGCCTGCTTAGAGAGTAGCTGTCAGAGAACAAGGGGAAGTGCTTCTCTCCTTCCTGCCCCTCGGGGATCTCTTCCCCACTCCACACATTTCCACTCCCTTCGTGCGTCTGCGCGCCGTGTTACCACGATCAAAGTTGTAGAGAAACATTCTGAAGCGGGGGACACAGTTCGAAGACAGAAGAGCTAAATAGTGGAAGTCAAGTTGGTCAGGCAAGGGCGTGCTTGCGAAAACGTGTGCGTGTGTGCGTGGGAAAGTGTAACTGCCGTGCTTCTTATTTGTGCAAGTGTCTGGTGGCGTTTTTAAGCGCCATAGCAATAAGTATAACCTACATTGTGCGTGTGGTGGTCGTTAGGGGCTTGGATTGCAGTGAAACGGAAGAACAACAAAAAGAAATAAACCATGTTTGATGTGTTCGGCTCCGTGAAGGGGCTGCTCAAACTAGACTCGGTATGTATAGACAACAACGTGTTCCGGCTTCATTACAAAGCCACTGTAATCATCTTGATTGCATTTTCGTTGCTGGTTACATCCCGACAATACATCGGTGATCCTATCGATTGCATAGTCGACGAAATTCCCCTTAACGTTATGGACACATACTGTTGGATTTACTCCACGTTTACGATACCGAATCGACTGGGAGGTAGGCCTGGTATAGATGTGGCACATCCTGGCGTGTCCAGCCATAACGAAAATGACGAAGTTAAATACCACAAATACTACCAGTGGGTTTGTTTCGTTCTCTTCTTTCAAGCCATCTTGTTTTACATACCTCGCTATCTGTGGAAGACATGGGAAGGCGGACGCATCAAGATGTTGGTACTAGATTTGAATTGCCCAGTAGTAAGCGAAGACTGCAAAACCGATCGAAAGAAACTGCTGGTAGACTACTTTGCAACTAACCTACACACACAAAATTTCTATGCCATACGCTTCTTCATCTGCGAAGTGCTCAATTTCGTTAACGTGGTGGGTCAGATCTATTTCATGGATTTCTTCCTGGACGGGGAGTTCACCAATTACGGCGCCGATGTCATCAGGTTTACTGAAATGGAACCGGAGGACAGAGCAGATCCAATGAGCCGTGTGTTCCCCAAGGTGACAAAGTGCACATTCCACAAATACGGTCCTTCAGGCACGGTGCAGAAGTTCGACGGACTCTGCGTTCTGCCCCTTAACATTGTCAACGAGAAGATCTATGTGTTCCTGTGGTTCTGGTTTGTGTTCCTGTCCGTGCTGACGGGCATAGCGCTGCTGTACCGGGCTGCCGTGATTGTAGGACCGCAGATCCGCATGTACCTTCTGCGGGCCAGATCCCGTCTCGCACCGCAGGATCAGATAGAAGCAATATCCCGCAAGTGCCAGATTGGTGACTGGTTTGTCCTTTACCAGCTCGGTAAGAACATCGACCCACTCATCTACAAAGAACTGGTGGCGGACTTAGCAAAGAGATTAGAAGGAAAAGAGACCGTGTAAAAAATCTTAAGTGCCTTATCGTTTTGTTTTATGAAAAAAAGAAACTAGTATGATGTATTATCAAAAGAAATCCAGAGGATTAGCAGGGGCAGATGAGGCGTAATTACTGTGTTCAATTACTACGTCGCCACGTAGCACAAAGGAAAACTTTGTCCCTATGTCCATGCACCACCTGCATCAGTTTCAATAGGGCATGTTGTCCAAAATGGGAAACCACACCCCGCTGTTTGGCAGTGACATGGCTCAGCTAGCTATGAGCTGATTCAAGTTGTGCGTGGAAAGTAAATGATGAAACATTGATTCCTGTGATGTATTAAAAGACTGCATTGATGTTATGGCGCACGTCAAGAATTTGAGGTTCCTGGCCTGATAATGAATGAGTGAACCTCCATGTCATCGTATAGCCTGCAATGCCGGGAACAACATTTTGTTCACGTAATAAGTTTTTTTTTTTAATTGTTGTGTAGTCTGTTGGATATTTGATCACCATTTGGGCCAGAAATGTAAATGGTGATAAGGTGTGCTGTAGGTTCTTTTGCCTTTTTAAGTTCCCATAGTAAATAGTGACGCAGCTTGTGGCAGAAGTTTTCCAGGAAAAAAGAGAGATGCTGCCATTATGTTCTCTTTTTTTTTTTTCTTCCAACATTAATTTTCACTGTTGTTTTCCTAGACTCGTATTTATTTAATTGCAGTGCTGAAGTCTATTGTTTTAAAATGGTTAATATGTGTAAGGTTATGTTAATAACTAGGACCATCTCTGGTTATTCAATTGTGGTGTGTTTCAGATAACCACTGATACTGCATCAATTTGGTATGCAAACAGATAAATGTTCACACAATCAGTTGATGGCTTAATATTTTGCAGTTACTGATTTAGTTGGTCTCATTTAAACACGTCACTGGATAGGTTAAGTATGATGAAGTGCTAGTGAGACATATCAAATTTCAATTATTCCAGCAAGGAACATTTTATTTCTTAAAGCATAGAACTCCTCTCCCAGGGTAATAAAATTCTTTCCATAAACTTTCTTTTTTTGTATGTGAAGTGGTGAACTGTTCAATAAAATGAGCAGTTAGTGAAATTAAGATGGCAAAACTAGTGAATAAGAAATCGGAAGGTTCTTGCATTCCTAACAGTACTGCTTCCTTATCTGTAGTGAATAAGTACATAAGTATGTTCTGTGATTGATATTGCAGTTTCCGGAAGTGCACACAGATGTTGCGTAAACGTAAAATGGTAACAGGCAGTAGCAGCATTCTCATATAGTTGTAAAACATTTTTTCTACAAGATTTCTTTATACATATGCTAGTAACATTTTGTTTTCTAATGTAATTCAGGATTTTTTTAACTTAAATAATCATATATTTCTGGATACTGCAATTTTACCTATAATCATTCTAATAGTATTTGTGTTTTTCTTCATGGTTAAGCAATGTCCATTTTAAATATACAAGAACTATACAATCTTCCTTTACGAAATCACAATACATTCCATGTTCAAGGGACCATACCATATTTTTTCTTTGTGAGAGAGTTTATTTTTCCATTATTGATTTTGGAATATGATACAGTTTGTACAATATTATCTTTCACAAAATGCATATCCTAAATGTGCCCAGTATGGGAATATCTCACTTTGATATCAGTGCTTAGTACGGAGGATGTGTCCCGTTATAACTGAGGACACGGTTATGCTGTACCTTGCACACCGACCTTGTATTACATGTAACGGATGGGGTAGGGAATACACCACAATCTTCAGGTGGTGAAGAGCAGATATGTGTTGTCATTTTGACCTCACAGCTATATTAATATAGCCATGAGTTACTGTATGATATTATTTACATGAGAGATTATGCTGGAAGATTGAGCACAAAATGGATTTAATATACTCCATTATCCAACCACTGATGAACTGCCTTTTAAATTGAAAATTCATTCCATTATCCATATGAATTGGAAAATTTTGTGAGAGATTATATTCTATAAGAATCCATAGTTTTCTTTTATAAAAAAATGCTGTTTTTAATATGTACCAGAAAATAGTTGGCGTTATTTACTGTAATATTTCTTTGTGAGCAGAAGATTGAGGCCTATAAAGTACAGATTGGCAACACTGATACATATTATTGCCGTATCAGTTCTGTGTTGCCACTTGTTCAGTTCTGACGGAGTTTGTTCAGAGCACCGTACAAGAGGCAAATCACTGAGTAGGGCCTATATTTATGTATGAAGAAGCAATAAACTTAGAATTTGCCCTTTTGTACTCTTATACAAATATATGTGATGATGATGATTGTAATGGTAAGCCAGATGATCATTCCAATATTACAAAAGATACATACAGTGCAACTGTCTCAGTTGATGTGCCTTATCTTCACCAATTGTACAAGGCTGAGAAAGAAATTGTGAAAATACTTTATGTAAGAGGTTCAGGACAGAATACCTCGTAATTCCAATTTAATTTTAACAGATAATTCATTTTGCTCAGATTGAAGTGCAGTTATGTCCAAAAGATTGATAATTTCCGTACTGCCTATTTTTTATATTGTGCAAGTCTTCCCCCCCTTTTCATATCACATTTTAAATGCTGTCAGAGCATAGCCTTGTGGCTAATATATTTGGACATTACTGTACACAGTACATTCCCCAGTTGTCTTTATGTTGTCGATCCTGTATAGGAAACCTTCACGAAAGGGCCTTCTATTTTTTTCTTGTGAAAAACAATGACCATATTCATCCAATAAAGACATTGCTTATAGTTTTTCTATGCTGGCTCTTTTTATTGTTATGAATAAAACCTCTGTGAAGATGTGTAGATGAAAATTTTGTCATTGGGAGGTGATCCTGGATAGTTGTGTAAGTGGGTACCAATGTTTCCATCTTTTTCTGAAGTGTTCTCACTTATCTACCAGACTACGTGGCAACATCACATCCCACAAACTCAGTAAATGTTGAGGTCATTCTTCTGGGGCTGACATTTTGTGTCTGTATCAAGACTATGGTGATTAATGAATGTGCAGTATTTGGTGAAATTCAAATAAGTCCTCTGAGGAAACTTACACCAGTGCCACTTTGTCCACCACAGATCCTGCATTACCTGACCTGAGATTGAACTCAGGATAGGGACCAGTGGAGGGCTCTTGTGAACACTGTAATGAACCTTTGGGTTCCATAAAATGCTGGGAAGTTCTTGTGTAGCAGCATAATTGGTGGCTTCTCAAGACGGGCTCAGCTCCATAAGTGAGTGGGTGATCTTCATGATGTACCATACTTGGGTAATGTAAGTGATCTCCAGGGAAATTGCAGGTTCATCCCAAACATAGGCACCCATTAACACGGCATCACATCCCCACAGAGGAAGGATCTGCTTCCAGCTTTTTGGAGAGGCAGGCACTTCCAAAAGTTGGTCTGAATCAGACTACACAAATAATTTCATCCCAAAACACCATAAGTCTTAATATCCACCATCATGAGAACCAGAAACATGCATTCTCTTTACCTAACCTACTGTGGATGATGATTACGTTCCATTGCTGTTGGCCATAATGAACTAGCGAGAAGTGAGAGTATTCATGCCTGCATCAAACCACTGCATAGTGTAGAACACACTGAATGTACACACGCGCAGACAAGAAACACATACGCCATATTGTACTGATTATATAAAGATGCATATCGTGGGAATAGCATACCAATATCCACACACTAACAACTCATACAATATAGTAACTTGTCTTCGGGCTTCACAACCTACAAACAGTCATGCCCAATTTCTTTACTGTAGCAGTGAAATCTTAAATATTAAGGTTTGCGTACACATCCTTAACCTACCATCAGAAACGCTTTTAATATATTTTAAACATGTTCATGTACCTGTGAGGTAACTATATGAATTCTCATACAGATGTTTGTACTTAGTTTTTTGACAGAATGGGAATATCGTGTTTAACATTCTCTGTATTTAGCAGAAAAGTGGGGCAAGTATAATGGATCCTTTTCAGAGTGCAGGTTACACTGGGAAATATATAGTTAATTGCATGGGTCACTTTGAAGTTGTGGTATCCAATGGGATAAACTATACTGCTGTCATTTGTAATTTATGTTTCCTCTATGAATGGTTAGTGGGACAGTTTTAACTGCTCCATATAATGGAATATTTGGTTTCTCTTTCCATTGCGTTCAGTGCTGATGGCTAGTATTTATGTTGTTGATCCAATACGTGCACACAATTTTGGTTCTCATAGTGAAGATCTGTATCAGTCATCTGCGACCTGATTGGATTTGAGGTTCTCACAGTATGACTGAAGACTACAATTGTCTGGGTTGTAACACCATATCCTTTTCATATTCAGTGTCAAACAGTGCGCAAAGCAAGGAACTAACTAAGTATACCTGTGGAACTGATGGGCTTGTACCAGACTACACAGGATTGTAACCAAGAAGACTGAAATCTTCTGGATTATTATTTAATGGACCGGTTTTGTAGTATAAGTGTTCCATGTCATTAGTGAACACCAGAAAGATACTAAATCACATGATATAAGAATATGTTAAAATTTTGAAACAACAAAACCTAGCAGTTCAATTGGAAAAGTATTAACATGTTCTTATTGTCAGAGAAATTTTATTTTTCTTTTTTGGCATGTGTGGCCTTGCAAATCTCACACCTGCTGTTTGTTCAGTGTTATTTGAACTCTTTGCAAGCATGTGGAGACATGAACTGTGAAATGTAATATATTTATCCATCAGAATGGAACATGAATTCCGCTGACTGGAATGCAATGATAGCAGAACATATAAACACATTTTTAGGGCTCTAACAAAGTTTGTGGGGAAGATGATACTTTTTGTACACAAAATCTGGAATGTTTTCTTGTTTGCAAAATAGTACAGTTCTCATGATGCAAGGTTTCACAGAATATAAAACGAGGGAATGAGTGTAGAATATTTTACTTCAAAATGGGAAAAATTGCAATGTGCAGTTTCTGTTAAGATTTGATTTTCTGTGGGATGTAACATGACAGAGTGGTTTTTGGATCAAATCTGTATTTGGCTTTGAATTTGATTGCAATAAGTAATGTGCTACTAGATTCAGACACGTGACATTTAGCATGAAGATAAATCATAAACATATGTACACATTATACCATACCATTTGTAAATCAGTAGTTACAGACATGGGTGGGAATTGTGTAAAGCTTTTTGAGGTTATGTTAGGCAAATGAAATGAGGGTAATGTGACACAAACTCCATCCTAAGTGCAACAGTTTGCTGTAGTTATTTCATTTTCCCTTCTACACTACACTACACAGAATAATACCTGAACAGTGCTGAAAACAAGAAGTAGCTGCTGCAGCACTATAGACATAGGGCAGGTACCCCTGAGAATTTTAAATTTTAAAATTTGAAGAAAAAAAATTCAAATTTTTAAATTTGAATTGAAGATTTTGAAAGTGCCAATTTTTGAAAATCAAATTGGTAGATTAACAAAGATTTTGTACATATGTGACAGATATCAGCGGGGAGGATTCTGATATATCGAAACCTGTTAGCAACGGAGAAGTGAACAATTGGGAAGACTAGTGTTTTTTAAATTTTAAATTATGCAGTGTAGCAGCTACGTGAGAGTGTACACCTGATGATGGCCATTTGCAGCCGAAACGTGTAGTGTAGAAGAAGGGAAGACGAAAGAACTACAATAAATTGTTGCGCTTACAACTGAGTTCGTGTCATAGTGTGTAGAGTGTAGCAGGATGCTTAAATATAATATTGTAATGAGGGTACTAAGTCTGATTATGAATGTATGCAACAGGAAAGCAGCCTGAAAGTAATGATCATGTAAAGACCTTCAAGAAGAAAGCTAATTAATCATTCTAAATAATGGACAGCTTCGTTACTAAATTTCAAAGTAAGACGGTCACGGTTAAGAGCTGTTGAATGTAAATAAAATATACTATATGTAATTTATTTTCAGAGGCCCTAAGTTGTAGCTTATTCAGCTTATAAATCTTGCATTGTCTGAAGTGCAAACAATAGATTTAAGTCTTTTCCTATGATTTCCACGTGTCATAACTTGTGAACACTGGATCATGTATCAAGATCACCAGCAGTAATTGCTTGTTAGATACATGCCTGAACTTCCATTTGGAACTGGACCAGAAATTAATAACTGAAAACCATCTCAAAAATAGTTAAGGGTGTAGGTAATTTTGCAGGTGTTGGGAATGAACTGGTAAAATATTAAAGGAACCCCCATTACTTAAGTTGGGCCATGTAATGGGCCTCAAATGTAAGTAACTTGCAAATTTAGCATTCACAGTTTTAAATGGTTTAAATAGTTTATGTTACTTGATATTGATAGACTGTGCCAAGACTTTTTTCTTTCTCTGAGACTGCTCCATAAATCATCACTGCCACTACATATACAATACTCACAATATGCTAGTTACTGCAAATAGAGACATTCCAGAATCCTGCTTATCTGCTGTATTTGTTTTTATGCACAGGAACAGGTCACTATGTTGTAAGGAACTAGGAATGTGCCGCATGTTAGGGCTATTGTACTGTTTGATTTACATACAACATGGCAAACAAGCGAAATTGTAACACTATCGCTATTTGAGTCCAAAAATGATGTAATAAGTCTTGCAGCTTTCGTCGAGGTGCTTGTTTTGTAGAATTTAAAACAACCCTGGTGGCATTGCACATCATTTTGTTTTCTGTCGGTGTGATTTCGGTAACTAACGGGCCACTGGGGCTAGCCATGTGAAATTCGGTATGAAGATTGGCCGAAACATAACCTGTACATCGGGTATGGAATATGTTCTGCTGCTAACCCATTTGTTTATGAACCAGATGACATGCCACTGGTACATGTACTTGAGTAATTACGAATTGTGGGGGTCCTACAGGTTGGAATCCCATAGGAGCTTGGTAGCTAATGCTCTGTACCATTCATCTGTGAGGTCTTGAGGTTCTCACAGTGGTGAATATATCATTGTCTTCTGCGATGTTACGTGTAGTTTTGTTAGGCAGTGTTTAGGAGGAATTGTCTTCTCGTCTGCTGTCCAAAAGCATAAAAATCAGAATATACAAAACTCTTAAATTTTGTCTGTGGTTCTGTGTGGGTGTGAAACTTAGTCTCTTGACATTAATGGGGGAACATAGACTGAGGGTGTCTGAGAACAGAGTGCTGAGAAGAATATTTGGATCGAAGAGGGATGAAGTGACAGGAGATTGGAGAAAACTACATAACGAGGAGCTTCATAACTTGTACTTTTCTCCAAGTATAATTAGAATGATCAAATCAAGGAGGATGAGGTGGGCAGGACATGTAGCACGAATGGGAGAGAAGATGAATGCATATAGGATATTGGTGGGAAAACCAGAAGGAAAAAGACCAAGACGTAGATGGTTGGACAATATTAAAATGGATCTTAGAGAGATAGGATGGGATGGTATGGATTGCATTGATCTGGGTCGCGATAGGGACCAGTGGAGGGCTCTTGTGAACACGGTAATGAACCTTCGGGTTCCATAAAACGCTGGGAAATTCTTGAGTAGCTGCAGATTTGGCTTCACAAGAAGGGCTCAGCTCCATAAGTAAGTAAGTAACTTTTCGGAGGAAGTTGTCTCAGTCTTCAGGGTAGAAAATGGAGGACAGGGTCTTCCTCAGAACACTGGAGGCCATCGAGGGAACTACACGGCGTCACATTCCAGAAAACTAAATTCTGTAGCAGACAAGCCTGGTACTCCTACAGCGTCTGC